AAACGCAGCCCACACTTTGCTGCAATAATTTAAACCAGATGCTTTTTTGAAGATAGAAAAAACATCTTAAATTACATGGATTTTGTCGCATGAAGTTTCCACATATATTTTAACAGTGTTTTTATATATGACCAGAAACATGTTTAAATATGTAGCCATTAAGTTGTTTTACAGTGTCTCATCCAAAGTTTCCCAAGAAGAGATTTATATTATTTGATATACTGCGTCTATATATATTAGAAAAAAAAACACTTCTGCTCAGAGTCTTACCACTGCTTTTTCCCCAGTATATAACTGCAAGTTAATTAACTGCAACTTCCAAATGTTAAAATGTTTCAATCAGGCTCAGTTTAATGCACTCATATCAATTCAAATGCAATGTTATTTTAACACAATTATTGCAGCATTCAATCCCAGGCAAATGTCTCGTTCGTATATTTCTGTTTAAAAAAAAAAACTGCAAAGTTGAACAAAAATTTCATTAAATAGTGCAGCTCATGATTCAACATATGTTTCGACTCCCCACAAACCTTGACTCCCTGAGTTCAATACCAAATAATGGTCCTGTGTTATCAATTATGGGATGTGCATCTGCTTTGTACTGCAATTATCTCATCATTTGAAGTATTGCCTTGTCGCTTAGCGTTCAACACAACTGCTTTGAAAAAAATATTTACACATTTGTTTGAATACAAAAAGTTCAAATATTAAGCAATTTGTTTAGAGTGATTTAAAGTATCTGAAATATGTAAGTGAATATATATATTTGTGAATATGTAACATTATTGGAGTCAGTCTCGTTACTAATAATAACACTTCTTGACTTAAAGCTTTCGTGACTGCAGGAATTCATATTCTTTGGGTCTTTTGGTAAAGTCACGTTGATAGGTTCAAAGAAAATAACAAAAAGACGGCCGCTTATGCTGCAATCGAAACGTCGTAGTTTTTGTTATTTTCTTTTAACCTATCTACGTGACTTTACCGAAAGACCCGAAGAATATGAATACCAATTCTGCAGAAACAATTCACTGATGTTAGCCGTGCTCCCAAGTCGAACATATGTCACCGGGTTCGTAGCAGAGTGCGCTAACCACTACACCACCGCTCAACCAAAAAAAAACCACACACACACACCAAAATGTATCCCGTGTAGACACAGCACAAGACTCCATGGCAGAGCAGTTAAAATCCTACATTCCGACATTTCTACATGCCTCTGAACCAAACAGCCCTTTGCCATCTCTCGACAAGCCTCCTGTGTGCCATGCACAACACAAGTCTGAGAACCAGCACTGCCCAATATGGTTGCACTGCATTAACGGAACACAAATAAACACGTCGAGTTGCCATGAGACCTAGATGGGTCCTATCCACGCATTCAATGATCCGTGGCGGAGGTGCGGCTTTGCGTCACATCCAGAGCGTCAGCTCGAGGGCAATACCCCATCAGAGCAGAATGCAGGCATCTCAACAACGCTGACATTCCCAAGGACACAACCCCAAACATGGCTCTGTGCTAATGTAAGCCAAAATAGGGTGCACTACTGACGCAGAAGACTTGGATGGCCACGCGGAGCGTGATCCTGCAGCAATGTTCGAGCGCCAGCGCAAATCAACATCGGTTGGAAATCTAGACCTTCACATTAGCTAAAATTGCTTTCCATGTGAAACTAATTTCATGGTCCCAGCTTGGTAGTCATTTGATGCACAAACATATTTCAATTGGTTCCCATTTAATTCAGTTGATGTCTGTTCTGAACGCTCTATATTTCATTAGCTGTAAACGCTGTGATGCTCTCACTCACACTACTGGAGGAGCACCATCTTGTGATTGAGCCAAGACAGTGTCCTTTAAGAGATAACGCAGTCCTGTGTTATTGCAATAACTCTTTTAGAATTGCTATAATTATGGTGTCCAGATTACAACTTACTTTCCAATCAACCCCTACATTATTACATTCCAGAGTCTTGTTTTGCAGCATTTCCAAAGTAGTTTCCAACGTATCTGCTTGCACAAGTAAACCATTAACTGAAATATTTGGTGATTTAAAAATAAAAATCTCCAATGAAGGTCATGTTTGCTCACATTATTCGGCATTATAATGCTCAGTGTCAATGCTTTGTTAAATTGTCAATGCTATGTTAAATGGTACCTTGTAAATGGCACGGCATGCTGTAGTTTGCGCTGGCCATTCATTATCCACTGCATGCACCACTGTGTCAGTGTGACCTGTGATCACAGTTGCCCCTGATGTTGAACGTGCCACGTAACAAAGCTAGGAGACTGTGCAGACGGTGCTTATGTCTCGCAATCAAGGATTTGTATACATTTAGAAAGACCGTATATACTTGCCCAAGCCTCTCTGGTGCCGTGAGTCCTGTGAAAATGTTTTAACAAGGCAAGATTTCTTAATCTTATACATGTGTGCGAGTCTTGTACGCTGTGCATATATCTGGTAGAGTATGTCGCGTTCTCTTCCAACACGTCTGGTCAGTGTAGAAGAGTAGACCAAACACCCTCCAGAGATTACTTTAGTGAAGTCTCTTCTGGCAGCAGTGATACAAGCAAGCAATTGCAGGGCTGCACCGTTACCTTTTGCACTATACACAGACAGTATCTCATTGCCATTGATGTAATTGCACGTATTTACTGGGTTAGGTAAATTATAAAAAAAATATCACGATCTTTTAGAGACAGGATATAACTATGAGACATTCAGAATGCAATTCACATATCTTTAGTTGAATGTTTAATCAGAAAAAAAACAAGAAAATGTATTCATAATGAAGGTTTTTGGGTTAAATCGCGTTATTTATAAATTTGTCGTAACCCTTCACCACCCAACACGGCCAAACAGTAAAAAAATGTGTCACGTTTACAAAAGACAAATAGTTCACTACTTTAGCCCACCGGTGTTTTTACAAAAACATTTTTTTTCACTCTTCAACACACTGGTGGGCTAAAGTAGTGAACTATTTGTCTTTTGTAAACGTGGCACATTTTTTACTGTTTGGCCGTGTCGGGTGGTGGAGGGTTACGACACATTTATAAATAACGCGATCTAACCCAAAAACCTTTATGAATAATATTGGTCGTGAAAGCCTACGTGTTGAGAAAATGTATATATAGACTTTATATTGGTTTATATCTGGTTTGTGTTTGCCAGTGAACTTACACTACCTGATTTTGTTTTTACTTGCAGACATCGTGAGGCAAGTGATACTACCAGGTCACGTTATCTCCTCCTCATTTGATCTTTTACACAATTTATATGAAAGTGCATCTGAATCGATATAAATATATATAAACATACAACAAATGAAGTGTTAATTTGTCAGATACCAGTTAGATTTTTGTTGTTGTCGTTTAAGCCTCACCAAAAGAGTCGCATATGACAGTGGGCAATGTGGATAAAGCATTCCGTCTGCCATGGCTCATCATTTGAGAACCATGCTTTGTTTCCATAACTATTGTAAAGCACACTCAGGCCATGTTGCCCATACCTAGATTGGGGTCCAGCACGGCTCTTTTTCTTTCCCCAATGCTTCATGAGTTTTGCAGTTCCACGAACTCAGACCCTACCACTCTGATCCCCTGATTTTACACAGTCGGTAAAAAATAAACAAAAGAAAAATACATCCGAACTTGATTAGGCGCTTTCGTGACGGTAAAGTCACGTAGAAATAATAATGGTTGTGTGCCTGGGGACCTCTAAGTGTGCGCTGCTGCGCCCGATCTCTGGGTGTGCCTGACAACTTATATCATGCAAATTTGTGTCCCATTGTCTATGAGCCTCAGCCCTCCTACATCGCTGGCCTTCTTAAAGCCTCGGGACAGATTTACTTTACCCCTTAACTGTGCGCGTGTCTCCCCCCCCAAAGGTCTCTCTATGGGAAGTATTCTATCACTATCTTAAATTTCACACTTAACTTACAATTTAACAATCTTTGAAACAGTGTATTCAACCAAACCATGCGTTAATTGTGTTTTAACCGACCGTTTGTGTTGCTTTATATAGTTTCCAAATTTTGCTAAACCCTGTTTGATTTAGTGTGATGTTCCATCTCTCTGTATCCCCTGGTATATCTGTGTTAATTCCCCCTACTTAAGGTCTGCATATATATCTGCGGTTATGTGTTTCCTCTACCTGATGATGAATGCTTGTGTTGCCATCGAAACGTCGTATGCTATTATATAATTGTATTTTTTATTATTTCTACGTGACTTTACCGAAAAAAACAAAGAGAAAAATACATCCCTGAAGTTTGTCTACACAAGAGACCACGCAACAAGTCTTCTACGTTGACCCCGTCATGTCACAGCCTTGCCCCAGGGAGACTCAGGCTTGCAATATACTTCTAAAAATTGAGCAAGTGGGCGCAAGCAAACTGAGTCAGGTCAGTCCAGTAAGGCTGCCAAGAGAATCAGGGCTGTGCCCACGTACCCGGTTTGTGAATCTCGCTGGCTTCCTTCCCAGTAGTTGTGAGAACATGGCATCACTGCAGGGCCTGTGAGTTTAATTAAGTGCACGTGTGGATACTGGATGAGATCCTGCCTTCAGCAGACACATCCAAAGTGAATTGATGTAGCAAGGAGTGCCATGGAAGGAACTTGTGGGGAAATTAAATCAGTATTGTGACCAAAACAATACACGATGCTCATTTACAAATGTAACTATTGTCAGTGTACATGCTAACAGTTTTTTTTAAGTAATAAACACGCGTATTCACGATGATATAGAGTGCAGATGAGGCAAGTATCGATGCACTGATTACAAATTCTAATTGATTTTACACTCATGATTCGTTCATCGAATTCTGTATGTATGTATGTGTACCTTCACGACGCCAACTTATATTGCACCGCAGTGGACACGTCTTTTTTTCAATGGCTACTGAAGGTGTATTATCGTCCATCAGTAAAGAAAACACAAAAGCACTAACGCACGCAGACTTGCTTGCACAGACGAGAGAAGGGAGGGAGGTGGCTGCGTACTCACAGTTTGGGTTTGGCGGGCAACGGCGGTGGCTCCTTGACAGGCGAGGGCAGCCCTTGGCCGGGCCTCGGTAGCTCCCCACCAAAGCCCTCCGGCGGGGCCTCACCGGGCAGTCTGAAGTGCACCCGCAAACCCGCCTTGGCGTTCGTCTTGCCCTCCGGACCAACTGCATCTCCCGCTGTTGCTGCCGCCGCCGCCACCGCCGCTACCGCCGGCATCGGCACTGACGTCGTCATTGACGGTGGCGGCGCGGCGACATCATCGATGCTCCTCCTCAGCTCGGCAAGAGCGGCCTCGGCAGAAGAGTTGAAGGAAGAGGTGGCGGCTGCGGCTCGGACAGATTTTTTCCCCGGAACGATGAAATCGGGCATTCTGCCATTGGCGAAGAGGCTTTCGGTAGCAGCGGGCAGCTGAACAGTGCTGTCCGGTTTATCTGCTGAGATGTCAGATATGAAGGAATCCAAGATGGGAGGGGGAAGCGTGTCCATGTACATGGACTCTGACGTGGACAGGTGTGTGGATTCAACAACCAGACTTGGCCCACATGTGTTGCTACTCATGTATCCGTCCGTTGCACCTGCAGTGTGGGGGGGACACGCCACATCGTTTCATAGGAATACATCACGCAGCAATGTTTGACACCAATGAAGCAAGCTTAAAGTTGAACATACAATTCAATTACTAAAATACTACCTAAAACTGAAAAAAACCCTCCTAAAAACATTAATCTAGCACGTTTTTATCTTTTGTTTAACCGTCTGAAAAATTGTAAACTTGAAAACATGGGGTGGATGTTTGAATTGGCCATGCTATAGTATTTCTGCCATGATCTCATTGAACAATATGTAAAAAACTGGTCCGCTGACATAGAAATGTTAAATTTCCACCATTGACTCACACTGAAAATGTTGATATCGATCCCTAGAGGAGCTGACATTCCCTGACTTTTCAGTCAGAAGGAAAACCTAAGACCGGGATGGTGACATTGCTAGGCGGTAGGACGTTTGCCTCTTGTTGCAGAAATTTGCGGTTTGCTCCCAGTGGCCGCACTGGTTAATACTGCGGCTGTTACAACCCAAAATACACAACCGCATGCTTCTCAGTGGATGTTAAAGATCCCATGACACTATTCACAAGAGAGTAGACCATGCATGCCAGAATTGCGGTAAAAATACCCCACATTTGAAAACTACTCGCAAATAAATCAATTGTTTGGGATTACCGCTCATAGCACTCCTCCTGTGAAACTACGGCAGACTATGTCCGTGAAACATAGCTTTTTTGTGATAGCCTTGTGCCGTCTTTCCTGCAAATGACACTGCAAAATTATGAACGTTGCGAGCCTCTTATCAACAACAAAACTGGACGAGAACACCACAGAGAAACACACAAAAAAAACAGTATCCAAGGCACGAGGTAACACACAACTGGAGATAAGGCGGGGGCAACGGTGAACACTTTTAACCGTCCTACATTACAGAGATCTTCGGGAGTTCAAGGATAAGGCCCACCACCACCACCACCTTCTCAACGATAACTCGGAATGGGCAATAAATGCTAGCTTATCAGCGGTGCCCACATCCAGAAGAGAGAAAAAAAAGAAATAGAAGTCCACGGAATGAGCGTACGTGCTGTGTCCAAAGCACAAACCCAGGAGGATCTATGTACTCACGCAGTGACGTGGTGATGAGGGGGGGTGGGGGGGGGTCTCACCGTGGACAATGAGCTGGGCGCTGCAGGACACCGTGCCCAGTTTGCTGCTTGCCGTGCACCTGAACGTCCCGGAGTCCTCAGGGAAAGCCTCGGATATGATGAGGGTGCAGATCTCCTCTGGTCAAAGCACGAATGGTGAATATTTTACGGAGCAGGACCACTTCAACAGTTACCGTCACAGTACTGTATGTTGTTCACGATTATTGGGAGAAATTAAAAAAAAGTCACGTGAAAGACAGCTCTTTTGAGATCCTGAATAAATCAAATGTCGTATGTTTATTTTCTTTATTTCAAGCAACGCCGAATGTTTATAAATGCACGTTTTTTATCATTGTCAGTGGTATATTTTTTTTTAACAAACAATCATTCCACAAAACGGCAATGCCACTATTACTGTCACACTCATGTACCATATATGTATAAACTATGTTACACTATACAAAACTGTAAGAGTAAAGATGAAGCCTGCATTTGATCAAATTGAGGATAACATTGTTTATTTTTCGTTACAAGTTCTAGAAACTGTTTTCGTGTGAAATAAATGACAATTGACGTAGTCATCTAGAAAATAAAATCCTCTATTCCAGAGATTAAAGATAAAAGAGCGGGGCATGCAGCGTGCATCTTCCATATTGTATTCTCTACCATCCGTATCAATTTTGTGGCGACACCACATGAATAATGTGTGATGGACAACGTGTGCCTCGAAAAGATGTCTGATATAGACCAAGTGCATTGCGGCTGTGCTATGGTCACACCTACATACATTGCTGAAAATAGGAAAGCAAAGTGCTGTAAATATATCTGTTTAGATCCTAGATAGTGATTCTAAATAAAAAAATGCAGCCAAAGCATTACGTACTTACCAGGTTCAGCTACAGAACGAGGCTCTTACAAAGAGAAGCAGCCAAGCATGGGAAAGGAAAGACCAACAAAGGAAAAGAGGGAGGGGAAACATCGTGTTAAACTTATTTTCTTTCGCAAAAGCAAAGCATTAGTCATTGTGTACTACTGTACTTACATCACTACATTATCCACATTAACACAGGGCACAACCACATGCAGAGGTTAAACTGTAGACGGGGAAATTGTTGTTAAGACCCTTGGCCTTTTGCAATGGCCCAGTTTCATGTGTGATGTGCGATTGTCAGCACACGGGGGGACTGAAAGCACGGTGGTTCAAACTGAGCACATCCAAAAGGCACTTTGGACAACTGAACAGCGTTCCTACTACAGTTCACCCCTGGCCACGTGCATAACCTCTGTGTGCTAGACAGTGGTGAAGTGACTGCACATCACTTGTTAGCAAATTACACTTTGCAGCCACTGGAGTATAAAATATATCACAATGCATATAAACAATATCATCAAATGAGAGGAAACATTTTCATTTAAATCGCACACGAAGTATACAACAATGGCCCTCAACTGCGACATACTGTTGATCCAGCTTTGCATGTTTACCAATAAACAGACTGGTGCGATGTATACCACACGTAATTTGTACACGTATAACAATGAATGCCAATGAGACTGACACATTTTTTAAAGACAGTCCCTGGTAGGATCACAACGACGATATGATATTTAAGACCCTTTTACCACAAAGTTACATTGAGATATATTATTCATATATGACCCCGGAGGGAATTTTAGAATTTAAAAATGAATACTCGTTTTGCAATTTAATAGTTGTAAATCAGAACGAAGAACATAAGCTGAAAACTATGCAAAGAAGAATGGAGAGATGCATTTTGAGAATGACACTGAGAGATATATAAATATAAACACACAGAACAAAGAGCTAACGCATATTTGATATATTGCATTGACTTGATAAGAGTGGGCTTGGGGAGGACACATTGCCAAGAGGGATAGAATAGCATCCACATAAAGATAGAATAGCATCCACATAAAGATAGAATAGCATCCACATAAAGATAGAATAGCATCCACATAAATTAAAACGCTCAGGAGGACGCCCACTGTGGATATTTAGCAATGAAATCAGCTCATTCGCAGGAGCTACATGGATTGTGGCATTGCAGAGCGGTGATGAATTGTGATGACGTGAGGAGGCCTTCATCCAGCAGTGGATAGAACGTGGCAGATGGGTTACAATCAAGTAGACATTCAGATATGAACTTATGACATCAGGTTGCTTAATAGTGTATGGCATGACCATATGTCAGGTGGTGAACTTCGTGATGGGTCAAGGCAGATGCCTCTTGCAATCATTCATAGAAATTACTGACGAAGATGTAACGGCTCTAAGAGGCCACCATAGTCATCAAGGCAAAGGGAAGAAGAGGGCGGAGGAGGGAGAGAGCACAAGGGGATCTCGCAACCACCCTTCCCACACAGTGTGAATGATCGGCCTGCTTCTTCAGTTGTTCATGCAGATCTGGATTTCCTTGCTCCCAGGTCATTGTATATGTTGAACTTCTTTTGCACCGTACGTAGCCAACCGTGCTAATCAGAGGTGCGGGGAAGGACAACAAACTAAAAACAAAGCACCGATCATTAATATGTTTAATATTAGCTTATAACTAGACGAATGCAAAAACTGATGTTCTATTTGTGCCCAAAAAAATACACACGATCCCCATCACCAGGGAACAAAATAGTTTGCTTCCTGTGACGCTATCGCTAAGAGAAAGTGAATGGAGCCTGCTACCAGTTACTCGCAATAGATATGCAGCATGTTACTTTTATATTTTGTTCAACAAAAATACATATTTGACTAACGTATTATTTATAATTATACAGTATTGTGTGACTTGATTTCCTTATTTCATATTTCCTTTTGAAATTAGTTTTTATTCTTGATTTTTACCACTTTTACAAAAAAATACTATTAAACTCCTACATTTGTATCAATAATGTCAATGTTGTGATTATTTCTTCAACTCAATTTCTCTCGCAAGGATACTACAATTATACAATTATAAAATCCATTACAACAAGAATCACAAACACCTTTGAAACGTACTGCTGAACTCTAAACTGTGCCGTAACAGTCGCAGGGATAGCACACACCTGCGTTCTTATCCACAGGGCCACAATAAATCAAAATTTCGACTGCAGAGAAGGCAAAGTGTTTTCACGTTATCTCACAGTGTTCTTATAAGATAGGGCTGTACACCTGCAAGCAATATTTCATCGCAATGCTCCATCACTCCGTTCAAGCCGCTGTCTTTGCGACTGGTGGAATCTCCTGCTGCTTCATGCACATTGTGTCCCGACGTTGGAGCTTCAATGCGAAGGGGGAAAGTTGAAAGCAAATACACAAAGTAAACAAGTTTAATTTAAATATATACGCAGCTCTGAATTAATGCCAAAAAGCACAAACACGTTCATCAACAAGTTATTGTAGTTCTAAGGTTTAAAAATGATTTGTTCTTGTGCACCACTGCCAGCGCAGCATCATCAAATCATTGTAATTACTGCCAGCGATTTGGCTGCTCAGTCAGAGGAGTTGAAGGTACACTGTAGCGTGCGGCAGGGCTGAGCCTGAACCAGCAGCCCCTGTCATGGTCAATGCGATGCACAAACCCCAGCGGAATCTCTTCTCGTGCTTGGGGAAGGCTGCCGGCAGAGTTGCTCGCAGTTAACGATCAAGGATTAATAATATTAACGTGGTTAAGCAAACAGACAGTCCACCGCCGGACTAACTCATTTGAAGGCCAATGCAGGCAAATTATTATCGAGGCTTCACCCCCCCTACCCTTCCTATACGTACATTGTCGGTAGCCCCCCCCCCCCCCATACGCAAGCGTACGCATTTGGGTTAACTCCCCTCCCCCCTCCATGCGTACGTACTCAATGGATGGCCCATAATCTCACGAAAAAAAATCCACCCAATTTCATGACAACAAATGTGCCCGTTAACATGTTGCATTATCCCATATCAATCTCGACATTCACATTGTGAAAGCACTTAATGTGTCATTAAATACATGAGAGCTATGGGCATAGAAGCAAATGTTATGTTGCGATTCATGTTAGGCTGATTAAATCTCATTAATATTCCTTGGTTTGATCTTTTGACTCAAGAACTTTCCATTGAATTGTAAAAACTGGCAAATTATCTCCTACAGCATACTTATATATACACAAAGCTATAAAAAAAAGTCTTGAGATTTCCTATAGGTCAATTGGCCGTAACGTTGAGATTTTTTTTTATTTTCAGTGACAGTAAAACAACACGATAATATTGTCTCAATGAGCCAGTTATTAAAAGTAATTATACGTCGAGGTGGTTTGGTAGCTCCAGGGTAAGAACAGAGCTTGCACTGCTGAGATCCTGCATTGAAATCTGCGAAACCACCTCTAATTCAACTGGGTTCTCAAGTGTAGTGAATTGATGGTCTCAGCATATGCCGCCGTTCACTGCATAACAAAAACAAAACCACCACTTTAGATTTTTTGTATTTGGTTACATTCGAATAATTAAATAAAGCATTGGTTTCACTGATATGCAATGAACATGTCTTTGCAGCAGGGTCTGTGAGAAAATGTGCTCCCCTTAGTGTGAGGAGCAGATGAGGTGCTGCTCTATGAGGGGGGGGGGGGGGGGGGAGACTTCCAACGGGGCACTTTGTCTCATCACGTGACCATAATAGAACAATTGTAATAATCCCGGGAACCAGACAATGACTTTTAAAGAATGGATGGCCTTCTTGTTTTCCTGAAAAGAAGCAGTTTTATTTGACCTCTCGCTGCGACTACATGCCATAAGCAGGCAATATGGACTTATCGCCGCAGCAACTTTTGGCTAGCCGTCATACAAAGACGCTCACTGCATTGCGCGCTTTCAGGTGCGCTTCTGCGGCCGTCTGGAACGCTCTTCCTTCCGATATTAGGAAGCCACTGGAGCGATGCACTTTTCAATCTAGATTGAAAACTAATTTCTTTAGAACTGCACTTTGTGTTCAGTTTGTTGTTCTTCCCCGCACCTGCGATTCGCACGGTTGGCTACGTACGGTGCGAAAGAAGTTCAACATACATATTGTACATATTTAAACATTTCCTCTTCAGGCACATTGTTGCTTTTTGGTATCATATTAAACATAACTAAGTGCATTCATTATTCAAATCCATTTTAGCAAATCAATCTAAGCTACCCTAAGTGACAAATATATAAAGTGACAATTATATTTTCAGATAAATATGCAATTGCCTGGCCTACACTGTGGTGTATTAAATACACATGAAAGCAGGACAATGCGTGACCTTGTAACTAAAATTGCATTGGGGGATGCTTGATGGAGAAAATTCCTAAAATCACGTAAAATTATCTGTGCAGGGCACATTAAAAAAAAAACATATGTAGACGTCCTTTGCTGGTATAGCATAGAATTGATAAAACAGCAATGGCGGATATCTGTATCGCTATGGGGACACGGTAAGAAGGCATGGCCGTTGTGAAGGTGCTACCTTTTCCCATCTGTAGTCTGACGCATCTGAGGATCCTTCCCACAAAACCATTTCCCCACCACGGTTGGATAACAAAACCAAAAACCGTGACTGCCCTGCGTGACTAAGCAGCCAGCCGAGCGCTAACGACAGCCACCCTCCCGGCAACCCTCGAGAGGACGCTTGACGTCAATGGCCCTGCCATCCAACATCATCTCCCATGGAGACCAACGTTTCGAGAGAAAATGTGCTCCCGGCAAATGCATGTATCCCCCTCCCGCACGGTCCCCCCTACCCTCGCCAGGGGTCCGTCACGCTCCGGCTTCACGGAACGCTCGGCAGACACTCTGCCTCTCAAGGTGGTCCATCTGTCATCTGAGCGCACTATTCATCAAAATCCCCGTCCCCACGAGAAGGCTGAGTGTTTAGGGCTGATCATTAGTGCTCTCACCACGCTCAGGCTCAACCCAGG